CGGGGAAAAGGCGGAGTTGGGGCGGGACGGGGGTGGGAAAGGGGCGGGGACGGGGTGGGAAAGGGGCAGGGCTAGGGCCCGTGGAGTATCCTCTTTTTTTATTTTTGAAATATGGTAACCCTAATCCAGCAGTATGCATAGGTGGCGAGTTCCATACCCACATGGTGCTCGGGCACCAGCAATATTCAGAGCCAGGAGTCCAGCTCCACCAATGTTTGGGGCCAGTTTCCCCCAGCCCCATCTGCTGCCCCCCCCATGCCTCCCCCGAGTGTCCCCTGGCCCTGACTTGCTCCCCCGCACCACCCGCCTTCCCGGCCCGGAGCAGAGAGTCACTGTCTCACTCTCTCCGCTGCAGGCTGCAGCTCCATGCTGCCTCCCTGCAGCAACTGCTGCCACAGGGTCCTAGTGCCCCCCATCTCCACTGCCAGGGCAGACTGACTCTGAGCCTGCTCTTCCCCCTCAGACCCTTTCATTTTCTGGCAGGACCCTCCAGCAGCACAGGACCCCCTGCCCGCAGTCACTGCTCCTGCCCCATGCTGGGCAAGGAGGCAGCCCCATCCCTCACCCCCAGTGAGGCTACAGTCAGGGGCAACAGCAGGGGAGGAGGCGCACGCAGCACCCCCCCCCCGGCACCCACCACGGGGGAGGCGAGGGAGATTCCTGGACCTGAGAGGGGCCCTAGGAGCACATGCAGTGACAGTGTGCTGCTGGGGGGGGGCAGGAAATGGGAGCTCCTCCCCCAGAGCTTGCTGCTGCTGGCAGGGAAAGAGCTGGGGGGAGTCCTCCTCTCTGGCCCCTGTCCCAGAGCAGCCTGCCTGCACCCCAAACTCATCCCGAGCCCTGCCCCACCCCTGAACCCACACTCCCAGTCAGAGTTTTCACCCCCTCACCACACCCTCTACCCTCTACCTTAGCCCTGAGCCTTTCCAGCACCCCCAAACACCTTATCCCCAGTCCCAGCCAGCGCCCTCACCCCCACACTCCTACTCTCGCCCTGAACCCCTCCCACACCCCAACCCCCCCATTGCCAGCCCCAGACAGAGCCCTCACCCCCTACACCCCTACTCTCACCCTGAGCCCCTCCCACTCTCCAAACCCCTCATCTGCAGCCACACCCCACAGCCCTCACCCCTGCACCCCATCCCTCTGCACCCCTCCCATCCCCAAATTCCCTCCCAGAGCCTGCACCCTGCACCCCAATCCCCTGCCCCAGCCTAGGGCCTGCACCCCAGACCTCCTCCCTCACCCAAACTCCCTCCCAGAGCCTTGGGCAGGTGGGGGGCTGAGTTTGGGCGGGGGCAGGTTCTGGGCACCACCAAAATTTCTACAAACATGCCACCCCTGGCAGTACCTGCAAAACCGGGCGAGGAAGCGACGACAGTGCAATTACTATACTGATGAAGACATGGACACAGATGTTCCTAGAAGCACGGCATGTGGCGATTGGGGGATCATGGTGGCATTGGGCCAGGTTCATGCCGTGGAATGCCGATTCTGGACCCGGGAAACAAGCACAGACTAGTGGGACCGCATAGTGTTGCAGGTCTGGGATGATTCCCAGTGGCTGTAAAACTTTCATATGCGTAGGGCCACTTTCATGGAACTTTGTGACTTGCTATCCCCAGCCCTGAAGTGCAAAGACACCAAAATGAGAGCAGCCCTCACAGTTGAGAAGCAAGTGACCATAGCACTGTGGAAGCTTGTAACGTCCGACAGCTACTGGTCAGTTGGGAATCAGTTTGGAGTGGGCAAATCTACTCTAGGGGCTGCTGTGCTACAAGTAGCCAACACAATCATTGACCAGCTGCTATCAAGGCTAGTGACTTTGGGAAATGTGCAGACCATTGTGGATGGCTTTAATGCGCTGGGGTTCCCTAACTGCGGCGGGGCGATAGACGGAACGTATATCCCTGTGTTGGCCCCGGCACACCGGGGCGGCCAGTACATAAAGCGCAAGGAGTACTTTTCCATGGTGCTGCAAGCTGGTGGATCACAAGGGATGTTTCACCGACATCAACGTGGGATGGCCGGGAAAGGTGCATGACACTCGTATCTTCAGGAACTCTGGTCTGTTTGAACAGCTGCAGGAAGGCACTTACTTCCCAGACCAGAAAATTACTGTTGGGGATATTGAAATGCTTTTATAGTTATCCTCGGGGACCCAGCCTACCCCTTAATGCCATGGCTCATGAAGCCGTACACAGGCACCCTGGACAGTAGTAAGGAGCAGTTCAACTATAGGCTGAGCAAGTGCAGAATGGTGGTAGAATGTGCTTTTGGACATTTGAAAGGGCGCTGGCGCAGTTTACTGACTCGGTTAGATCTCAGCACAACCAATATTCCAATTGTAATTGCTGCTTGTTGTGTGCTCCACAATATCTGTGAGAGTAAAGGGGAGACGTTTATGGCAGGGTGGGAGGTTGAGGCAACTCGCCTGCCAGCCAATTTCGCACAGCCAGACGACAGGGCAGTTAGAAGAGCGCAGCAGGGTGCGCTGCGCATCAGAGAGGCTTTGAAAGCCAGTTTCATGACTGGCCAGGGTACAGTGTGACAGTTGTGTTTGTTTCTCTTGAAGTTACCCGCCCCCTATATATATGAAAGGAAATAAAGTCAAAATTGTTTAAAAACTGTTCTTTATTATTTGTTGCACAACACATTGAAAGAAATCAGACGGTAGAGGGGGGCATTGGGTTGGGGGGGGTGGAGGAGGAGGGAAGGACAAATCCAGAAACCAAATCAAAAGTTCGCATATGCCAGCTTTCTGCTGCTTGAGTGATCCTCTGGGGTTGAGTGTGTGGGGCCCCGTAGCCTCCCCCCTTGTGTTCTTGGGCATCTGGGTGAGGAGGCTATGGAACTTGGGGAGGAGGGAGGGTGGTTATACAGGGGCTGCAGCGGCAGTCTGTGGTCTTGCTGCCTTTCCCACATTAGATCCACCATACAGCGGAACATGTCAGTTTGCTCCCCCATGGGCTTGACCATAGCGTCCTGCCTGCTCTCATCGCGCGCGTCCCTCCTCTTTTCGTGTTCCTGTAATGCTTTACGGGACTTCACAATTGTTTACCTCCATGCATTCAGCTGGGCCCTATCAGTGCGGGAGGACTGCATGAGCTTGGCAAACATGTCGTCCCAAGTTCGTTTTTTCCGCCTTCTAATCTGGACCAGTCTCTGGAACAGAGTAGATAGGGGCCACGTTGAAACATTTGCACCTGCGGGAGGAGAAAAAGGGAGGGTAGTTCATTGCCGGTTCAGCACTTTATCTCTTATTTTCCTGGAATTTTCCAAGAGGGACATGTAGTACCAAAGGGCAATTTTACTATATTATTGATCTGGATCAAGAGTATGTTGGAATGGATGGGGCTGTGACCCAGAGCACCCATTCGCCTCCCTGGGTTTTTGGTACACTTGCCTGAGCTCCTTGATTTTTGTACAACACTGCTCTGTGTCCCTAGAGTAGCCTCTTTCCGTCATGGACCTGGAGACTTTAGCGTGCGTATTTGCGTTCCTTTTTTTGGAGCGTAGTTCTGCCATAACAGACTCGTCTCCCCAACATGCAATGAGATCCAGTACCTACCGTTCAAACCATGCTGGAGCTCGTCTGAGAATCCAGGACTGCGTGATCTCTTGTGATGGTGGACTCTGCATGGTCGCCTGTGATGGTGGACTGTGCTGATGGTCACCTGTGCTGATGGTGACCAAATAGGAAATGAAATTCAAAAGTTCCCAGGGCTTTTCCTGCCCACCTGGCTAGTGCATCGGAGTTGAGCGTGTTGTCCAGAGCAGTCACAAGGGAGCATTCTGGGATAGCTCCCGGAGGCCAATAATGTCGAATTGTGTCCACGATACCTTTAACCCAGGATTGCAATCTCGATTTAAGCGCTACTCCACTTGCCGAGGTGGAGTACAGAAATCGGATTAAAGAGCCCTTTAAACAGAAAAAAAACAGTTTGGTCATGTGGACAGAATCTTTTTTTTTTCTGAATTAACTCAGCTAATTCCGAAATAACAGACTAGTGTAGACCAGGCCTGTGGTTCGTTTTTCAAAGTATTGATAAACTCTGTGTGCAGCAAAACCCCTTCTCAGGCTGGTCCCTACTACCTCCAAACCATGATGTTATTATTCACACAAATAGTCATAATGCCTAGTTGGCCCTTCTGTGAGCCAGTGATTGACCTTTTATTACTGACTCCAACTAGGGCCGGCTCCAGGCACCAGCGTAGCAAGCAGGTGCATGGGGCGGCCAATGAAGAGGGGGGGGCGGCGCGTCCGGCCGTTCGGCGGCAATTCGGCGGTGGGGCCATCACTCTGTCTCGGAGCGAAGGACCTGCCACCAAATTGCCACCGATCGCGGTCTTTTTTTTTTTTTTTTTTTTTGGTTGCTTGGGGCAGCAAAAACGCTAGAGACAGCCCTGACTCTAACAGAAACTTAATGGTCCTGTTTTGGAAAGTTAAGATCTGAACTTGAGAAGCATGGAGCATCCACAACTCCCACTGACTTCCTGGGCCTGGATCCTAAGGCAAGAACTCTGAATCTTTTAGTAAAATATGGAAACGTTCTGGCCTTTGAAAGAGCTTCTAGGATAACTTGTAATTTAATCTCTGTTTCTCACATGGGTGCAACAGAACAGTTTACAAATAATTAACCCAGCATGCCAGCACCTCTGAGTGTCAAAGCTCAGGACTGACACACTGCTTTATCAGATGTCCTTTGGCTTTACTTGTTTGAGTACTTAGTTAATAGAGCACAGTCAGCCCCAATCTTCCATCACCGTGTCTCAAGGACAGTGGGATAACATCAATGTAAACTACATTATTGTGTAGTTCATTGCCGGTTCAGCAGTTTAGCTCTTATTTTCCTGGAATTTTCCATGAGAGACATGTAGTACCAAAGGGCAATTTTACTATAGTATTGATCTGGATCAAGAGTATGTTGCTTTGCCATCAACATTTTATTGACTCCACTGTTTTAAGACAATTAATGTTAGAGGCACTCAGCATGGTTCTACTTGAAACAGATTTAAGAAACAAAATTCCAACAGACGTCAATGATATTTTTGATTACGGCATATACACAAATAACAGCCTAGCAATTTTTTGCCCCTCTGTTCACTGTTTTGCTGATAAAGAGGTCCCTGGGCCCAACAATGATAAGATGTGAACGGAACACTTTTCCACTGTTACCCCACAGCACAGTTAGTGTGTCCTGGATTTTTGTGTCAAGTTATAAGTGGCTTATTTCCACTGTAACAACCGCCATTCAAAATCTTTGAAATCTTTTCTGAAATAGCTGTTTTTATAGGCAAAACCCCTGTCCGCCATTCTTTTTAGCTGGTGTTATAGAGTCTTAAATGTTCCTTGGGTGAGGGGAGGGGTACAGAAGGAACAGTTAGCTTAGATGGTCTGGTGCGATTGTTGTTGGAGTTTAATTTGTTCCTTTTGGGGGCGGGAGGGGGAGAAGGAATGGTTAGTTTAGATGATCCAGACCGACTGTTGTTGGAGTTTGAGTCTGTTTCCTTTAAGGGAAAAAAAGCCAAACCTACACAGAAGGGGAGAGGAAAAGTCTAGCAATGGTAGAAAATGCAGCTTTTGTCTGATGCTTTCTTTAACTTGCAACCTCACTGCTGAAGAAACAGCACACGGTCTCTGAGACCTGGCAAACTGGTACCAGCACTGAGATGTATGAGGCATTACTTGTAACTGTCTTTCTGGTCACTGGCTTACAGCAGTGCTGCAAAGGTTGTGTTGGCCTGCTAAGCCTAATTCTTATTGGACAGAGACAAAAGGAGACAGGAAAGAGAAGAAAGAAGGTGATAAAGGAAAATGATACCAGGGAAGGGTTAATGACCTAAAGCTCACATCCCAGGTGGTATTCAGGAGTTAGCTGATGCTGTTGGAGGTGGTGATGATATCTGTTTCCCCCTCTGGCCTGGGCTGGTCAGGATGCCTTTCAGGATCAGGACGATGAAGGTCCAAAGGTGTCAAGATGGATCCCAGTGTCCCAGGAGATAGTGGGGTTGGCAACCATGATGGTAAAGCTTGTGTCTTCCAAACCATGTGACCTGACTTTCCCATCAGCAACCCTGACATAAACAACATCCAATTAAAATTAACCAATCAAAACACATTTCAGTGGTTTCAACTTTCAATATTTCCTCTCATTCCTGGAGTCTTTTAGTTTATTGTTATGCCAACTATGACTTTACCAAAAGCCTTGAAAATCTCTTATCATAATTCTTTTAACTTAAACAAACCAGTTTGTACCAATCTGTTTGTCTCCAACTTTTGCTGACTTTTCATAAACAATTTTATGGAACCGGCTGAGTTGGGCTTTTTTTTTTACCTTGGGCAACTTAGAGCACAGGACTTTGCACAACGCCACAAATCCTCATTATTCCTGCTTCCTATTCCAGACTCTTAAATGTATTCCCTCCCTATGCCTGGCTAGGCCCAAAGCTGTGTTAAAACACAGCAGAACTAGCTGACCACAAATGCAGAAGAGCATTTTAAGCTCAGCACCAGGGCACAGCTGCAGAGACATGAGGGCTGTTGCTTTTTTAATGAAATGTGTGACTTCTGTTATCAGTGCACTGCCTCTCACCTCTCAGCTGTATCTCATTCTGTGGGACATCACTCAGTTTATAGACCCAAAGTTCCTGGTGTTCCACACAAATCTGGGTCTCAGTCCTGTTATTTCTTGCCTGATGGGTGGACTGCTGGGCTCACACACAAACAATTGTAATAGCAGGACCTACACTCTTTTTACTTGATATTATGAAAAAGGTTTACAGCACTAACATAAACTGAAGGCACAGAAAGAATTATCGACATGAAAGGAAGGAATCTCCGAGGATGTAAAGCCAATGCATGGCTTGCTTTTGTGGAGCCCTCTTTCTGGGTGTTTGTCAAAACCTGGGTCCCACATTTGGGTCTTGGCAGGTCAAAAGTAGAGCTGGTCGACCTTCACAGTTTTCCATGGAAGGGAAATTCCAAAGGAACATTTATTTTGGAAAAATCAAAATGTTTTGATTTAATTTTTCGGAAGTGAAATGGAGCAGCAGGCTGCCCCAACTCCCAGGGACTCTGCATGCTGCCCAACACTGAGGGACTCCCCAGGCCAGAGTCAGAGGCAGCCCAAGAAGTTGCCCAGAATTAGGGGCAGCCAGGGAGTCAGGGGCAGCCCAAAGGCTTCCTGGGAATCAGAGAAGTTCCCATCACAGAGCAGGGAGTCTAGAAGCCCCGAGAGCCTTGGCTTCCCGAGCTACCAAGCTCCTGGCTGCAACGTAGGGCACCTGGAAGCCCCAGTGGTTCCCAGCCCCCAGGCAGTCTGATGGCAAGGCTATCTTGGAGTCACAGACCCTTGTAGTACAGGCTGCCAGCAGCCCTCTTAGAGAGCTGTCAGGAAACCAGGCAGGTTTCGGTAGAAATTCATCAAAAGTGAAACCTTTTCACAAATCAGCATTTTCCAGTGAAAAACCAGTTTGTTGGCAAATTGCCAACCTGTTCTAGCTGAGAACTGTGCTAACTGCACGTGTACGGTTTAACTCCAAACCCAGTTTTATTGGCTAAACAATGTTTCTATAATGGGCTTTTAGCCAAAGGGCTCTTTTTAAAAGTGTTTGTTTTCCTGATCAGAACTTTTGTTGAGTGCTAGCCTCAAACTGCTCTGTTTTTTAATGCCTAGGTTATAAAGTGCTGACTAGCAGGTTTCATAATGGAACTGCTGCCAGACCGTCACCCAGACTGGCACTAGTGCGTGTTGAGTGAGAATCATGGTAGTGATTTGAATCAAGTGACTACTACTGTATCTGTACAAGAACAAACATGGAATCTGCATTGCCCTGACTATACCAAGCTTTTAAACCTTCATACTCCTGGGCCCCAATCCCAGCAAACTCCAGACCTTCAGTGAGCTAAATGTGAAATTTGAGCGTGCAAGGAATGCAGAATTGGGCCCTTTATGATTTTGCACTTACATAGGGTCTGGTCCTGAAAACTGTTATTCACGGGAGCAGTCCTTGGTGCTCCCTGATCTAGCTCCCACTCAGTGGAATTAACTTCATTAACTTCAATGGGAATTGGATCAGGCCCTTGGCTAGTCTCAGTAGACTGCAGAGGAACGTCTTGTGTGAGTCAGGGTTTGCAATATTGGATCAATCAGAATCCCATCGTCATATAGTAGGAATCATTTTAACAGATGCCTATTTAGGGCAAAATGTGTAGCTATAATGTAAGAAAATTCTTATTCTAATTCTCATTCTCCTCAACTTCTATAAGCAGCAAAACACACAACAAATTGACTCTGGCTTGCATGGATCATTGTACACATTCAAAGAACAGCCTCTCTAGTCAATTATTAAGATTAATGTATTTTTAATTTTCTATTTTTACTATACTTGAGGAATAATAAAGGGAGCCCCCTAGGGCTGATTTAATGTAGTTTTGTGCACAAAGCACCTGCATCACATTTCAAAGTAAATGAGTTTAAATCTTTTACAGATTGGATTGTGTTAACCTTTTGAATAACTTTGTCCAATCAATGCAATTCCAGAATTCTTTTGACCAAACATATTTCATTCTTTAGATTTACAAATAATAATTAAAAAACAAACAGGGTCAAACAAACACTAGTGCCTAGCAAAAAGGGCAGTCCTCCGAATATTATTATTAGCAGCCGAGGAGTCCCAGTCATGGAATAGGACCGCCTCTTGTCTTTTCCAGGATCGTGAACAACCTAACTTCAATACAGTTACAGATTTAACTTCAAGCCAGGGCTGATAACAGATTGTCACAGAAAGCTCTCTTTTTATTGCTGCAGGTGAACTAAATTTATCCATAGTGCAACTTGATTGTAGTTAATGGATTGGCACCAGACATGGGATTGGGCTCTTTTTAGAAACAATCTTTTTAAAGAATAACTTCTGTCTGAATTAAGAACTATCAGTTGATGTATGTCAGATGAGCATTGTCTGTATATTCTTGCCCTTCCCAGGATTGGTTTTAATCAAAACAATCCAGGGAGCATCCATATCACAGGGAGGATTTTTAAAAGTAAACTATAAAATTAGAATTAGTAACCCAAAATATTGCATAACTCTCTGCTTCATTCAGTAGCACTAGAACTATCAAAATATGTACTGGAATTGCAGCCTTTTTATGAGTAATACCTGCATAGGTGGAAACAAAAGTCTGCAACAAAGAGTGGGGCTCACTGCTTCTAGGTCCTTCTCCAATGAGGTTGGTCTGCAACCATTTGCTGGTGGGCTGTGTAAGCAGAAAAGATGCACAAAGTAAGTATTGAGCCTGTGTTTATTGAACTGCTCTTTAGTATCATTAGCTCTTCAAAGACAGGAATGAAAAAAATGACAGATTCAGAGTCACAACTGGAAAGTTTTGGTGCCTTAAATTTCCATCCATCCTGGCAAGGACGTCCCATCACACAAATGAACTACATGGAATAACATCTGCCAGTTCAAGTAACAATAGCAGTGTAGCCAAAGCAACACAGGAGGCTGCATGGCCTACCCACCACCTTCCCACATACTTGAGCAGCCACTGCCCGTGCCACTGCAATTTTACTACTATTGTTACTCAAGCTAACTTTGATCTGGCTAGATGTGCTGCAGTCACACTTCCTGACTGCACCGTCGTCAGATCCTTAGTTCTTATTAGAAAGATGCCTCTCGGCTGCAGGACCGGTAGAATTTTCAGTATCCAGGCCTGTAAGATGCATTCTTATCCTTTAGTTATTTTGCAGCACTCAGAAATGTGCTAAGCACTTCACACACTACATAGAAAGACCCAGCCCCTTCCAAAAGAGCTTCCAATCTAAAATTAGACACAACACAAATAGTGAAGGTAACAAACTATAGACCCGGTTCAGGATGGACCAGAGTAAAGCCAATATGATCACATTGCTGTTTAGTGTATGGAATGGGCATGTCTTAGCTTATTGTTTTAATGTGAAAATGTAAAACAGTGCCCTAGGAAAACAATTGACTCTCTTACTGTGGGTATCACAGAAGAACAGGAGTTGCGGCATTCATTCTTGGTTTGGTGAAGTACTAAGAATAGGGTTGCCAGTTGTCCGGTTTCCGACCGGAACACCTGATCGAAAAGGGACCCTGGTGGCTCTGGTCAGCACTGCAGACTGGGCTGTTAAAAGTCTGGTCAGTGGCGCAGCAGGGCTAAGGCAGGCTCTCTGCCTTCCGTGGCTCCACATAGCTCCCGGAAGCTGTGGCATGTCCCCCCTCTAGCTCCTATGTGTAGGGGAAGCCAGGGGGCTCCGCACACTGCTCCCGCCCCAAGCAGCAGCTCTGCAGCTCCCATTGGCTGGGAACCATGGCCAATGGGAGTTGCGGGGGTGGCACCTGTGGACAGGCCAGCACACTGACCTGCCAGGCTGCGCCTCCACGTAGGAGCCAGGAGGGGGGACATGCCGCTGCTTCTGGGAGCTGTTTGAGGTAAGTGCCACCTGGAACCTGCACTCCCACCCCCCCCTTGCACCCCAAACCCCTCAACCCCAGCCCCACCCCAGAGCCTGCATCCCCACTGGAGCCCACACCCCCTCCCAAACCCCAAACCCCTGCCCCAGCCCTAATCCCGCTCCCCACCCTCCGAACCCCTGAGTCCCAGCCCGGAGCACCCTCCTGCACCCCAAATCTCTCATCCCCGGAACCACCCCAGAGCCCCCAGCCGGAACCCTCACCCCCAGCCTGGAGCCCCCACCTGCTCCCCAAATCCCTCATCCCTGGCCCCACACCAGAGCCCTCACCTCCCCCCAGCTCCAGCCTTGATCCCCTCCTGCCCTCCAAATCCCTCATTCCCAGCCTGGAGCCCCTCCTGCACCCCAAACCCTCATCTCGAGCCCCACTCAGAGTCTGCACCACCAGCCAGAGCTCTCACTCCCCGCTTCCCAATCCCCGGCCCCGGAGCCCCCCGGCCCCCAGCCCCCGGCCCCCGGCCCGGCCCCCCCCCCGATTTTCCCGGACATGTCCGGGAAAATCCGGACGTATGGTAACCCTAATTTGTAGAAGACCATCTTCTTTACCTGGAAAGGCTACTGTGATTTAAAAGAAGTGAGTCAATCTGTTGGGCTCTTATATTTGTCCAAGTGCAACCCTAAAAATCCAACCCAACTTCTGACCAGGTTCAGACAGAACAAATGCTGCATTAGGCTCTACTTATCTCCATGTTAAACACCTCCCTGCCATGGAGCCCACTGCAAACACCTCTTGGCTAACGAGTGCAGATATTTTTTCTTAGTTCAGATTTTTGTGGCCTGATGGCTGTTGCACAATTCACTAAGCTGGTCTTTTACACTGGCTTTTGTTGTTGCTCCATGGTCTAATAAGTTTGATCAAATTAAATCAGAAGCTTTACGCTGAGCTTTGGGCAATTATGTTTTAATTCTTTTCTCTCCCTTACACGTCAATTTATTTATTCCTCCTTACGCTACTTTGTTTTTTATTATTCCACCCAGAGTGGAATTCAGCTGCCACAGCAAAGTGGGGAGGTCACTTTCATTTCGTTTGACCTCTCATCGTAAGTGATTCTAGGGCTTCTTCTTAAGCTCAGCAAGAAGCTGGTCCAGGGCAGGCAGAGAAAATAATGTCCGCCCTGTTGATTCAGTGGTTTATGTGCTGAGACAATAGCCACATAAAATCAAGGAAAGAAGACAGACAAGTGAAAGAAGGGCTAAGAAAAGCTCCAACCCAGTGAGATAGCAGAATCCCTTAGTTAAAATATTTTAAGTAATGCATGTTTTTCTCAGGGCGTCTTTGCTTTTCGGTTGCTTTTTTTAGCACCCTCAGATTGATTTCACCCTGCCTCAGCCTGCAGCCCATGCTGGAAAGGCTTGATTTATCAGTGCCCCATCACTCCTTTACGCTGTCTCTGTCCACAAAGAGGCATAGGTTTTTAAGGCCAAAAAGGGACCATTATGATCATCATCTAGTCTGATCGCCTGCATATCACAGGCCAGAGAACCTCATCCAATAATTTCTGCACCAAGATCATAACTTCTGTTTGTGCTCTAGCACATCTTCTGGAAAGACATCCAGTCTTGATTTAAAGCTGTGCAACCTATCGTTGTCTCCTGCCCCGTCACCCTCTGTTCAGCCAGAGATAGCAACCTGGACGCCCTTTTTATTCTCTCTTCCCAGCCATCTCCAGCGCCACGCTTTTTTCCCCACACTGCACATGAAGCATGGAATGCTCTTCCCAAATCTGGCCTGTCCCATGCTCCTCCCCATATTCGGGTCTCTCCTTAACACTCTCTTCCGCACCACAAAAAGTGAGTTGACGCTGATAATTATTTTTCAAAAATGAATTGAGCCGCCTAGGTATGTCTACATTAAGCCATAGCATCATCATTGCTATAACTCTTTCTCTCTCTTTCCCCAGTCCCTCCCTTCTCTTTGTTACCCCCATTTAGCATGTCACATCCGAAATTAGCTTGCAAGATCTTAAAGGCAAAGGCAGGGCCAGACTTAGGGGTGGGCCACCGGAGCGGCCACCCGGTAGTCAAGGGGGCACCATACAGCAGATCAGAGGTGTGCGCTGCCAATATAGTGCCAGAAAGTGCTCCCTGGGGAGTGCCACATGGGGAGGGGGCTCCCAGATTTCTCCCTGCTTCCTTCTAGCGGAGGAACATAGATGGGGGCAAGCGGTGACACACAGATACTGCTCACCCCCCCTCCCATGTTCCTCTGTGTCCCCCTAGGGGGCTGTGAGGGGAGGAGCAAGGAGCAACACCAAGCACTCCATGCAACCTTTCCCACCTGGGCTGTGCCGAGAGGCATCAGGAGCTGCTGCTCTCCTGCCCTGTCTTTATGCAGCTCAGGTGAGGAAAATGACCTGGATGCAGGGAGCCCTGACATTGCTCCTCACTCTCCCCCCACACATACACACACAGCCTCCTAGAGGGGTGTGGAGGAGCATCATTTCATGGGGGACCAAGCAGCAATGCCAGGTGCTCTGTGCAGCCAGGTCAATTTTCCCACATAGGTGCAGGAGAGGGGGGGTGCAGGGGTTAGGGGCACAGGAGGGGGCAGGGATTAGGGGTGCAGGAGGGGAGTGCAGGAGTTGGGGGTGAAGAGGAATAGTGCAGGTTTTTGGGGAAGAAGTGGGGGTAGTGGTTGGGGCAAAGGGGGGGAGTGCAAGGGTTGGGGTGAAGGGGGGTTGGGAGCCTAGGAAGCCCACGGGGGTTGGGGGGCACCCACAGGGTCTAGGGGCAATGAGGGGCACTGTGTCTATGGGGGTCAGGGGTGCCAAAATACAAGTTCACTCAGGGTGCCATTTTCCCTAAGTCCAGCCCTTGGCAAAGGTGATGATGGGCCAGCACGCCAGGTCTAGCTATGTTGAATGTGGAGCAAGGCTCCATGGTATATTGGTGTAGAAAGGTGAATCTAAGCCATCCATCCTCTTGTCTGATCCCTGGCCCCCTCTCCTCTGATCCCTGGCCCCCAGCGCACGTTAGAGCAGGCTAAGTGTTGCTCTAAGTTCCTATAGCTACAGTGGTCCCCTAGGGACAGTTTCACCAACTGGGAACTGTCAGAGGAGTGTGTGCTTAACTCCACCATCTTCTGCCAGCCTATTTTGGGTTGCAGATCAGGTGGCATAGAGCCAGCTCCATGGGCTTTACACCACCAGGGAATTCCCTGGCTGCCCCCTTTGAACTAGGCCCAAAATATTTTGATAGTCTGCAAAGAGCCTTGCACAATTTGGGGGCACTATGATAAATATAACTATTAATCAGGTTTCTTTGATTGTCCTCAATTGCAGTAGAAAGCCAAGAAATTCAGGCAGCTCCTCGCCTTGTACTGTTAATGGGATCTTTGTTTAGAGAACACATGCTTTGTCTGAAAAAAGTGCTGAACAACGTCCTCATACCAGGTAAGTTGAATTGAGCCAATAGTTTCACATGCAGCAAATTGTTTACCCACCTGCACCTGGCCTTATGAAGCCCATGCAAATCAATGAGCTCCATTGCATTCTGCAGCTGTCTGTTTTTATGATGGGTTCTGAAATAGCATTTCCCCTTATCTACTTACCCTTAAATATACTGGATTTAAGAAATGTAAGCAGTTAATGGTAACACCATAGCAGGCAGTAATGCCGAGCTGCTTCACTGAGTGAGGAAATGGTATTTACACCCCTTTTCAGGGGAAATTCAGTAACTGCAGGAGGAGAAAGACATTTCCCTTGCTTGGCATTCCCCTTCCTCCCACACACACTGTATCAAGTTTTCAAGCAATGTGTGAGTCCTAAAGTAATAGGGCAGATTGTTCACTGCTGCAATATATTTCAAGTATTTGCAGAAAATCTAATGACTAATCATTGTTATGGAGATTAGTCAAATACTGGCTAAGCAAATGTATGACTTCCATGGAATTCTCACCGTCTTTGGTGGCTTTGTGGAATTGGCTTGGTTACAGGATCTAGGTAGCCATAATTTGCATTGTTACTATACAGAGCTTTGGTTTTCAAAAATAATCCAATAAGCATCATTTTACAGCTTGGGGAACATGGCCATAAATCCAGCTGCTAATGGGAGTGGATGGTTAGGCAGCTTCAAAGCTCTAAGAGTCAGTGGGAGTGTTTGTTTATATTTACCATTGATTGAAGGAATGATTATCTGGACTGACTGACCATTCAGTGGTCAAGACATTGGGCAGTTTTTCAGACTCTCTTGGGTTGATCTGATTAGTGTAGCTGGCAACATTATAACTAAAACAAAGCCACACACACTGCAGAGGATGCAAAATATACAGAGCAATGTGGGTCATTTTGTAAATCGGGCCCATTCATATGAAATGCCTTTTAATACAACCAAATGCAAAGTTATAGATCTAGGAACAAGGAATGCAGCTCATACATACAGAATGGGGGACTGGGTCCTGGAAAGCAGGGACCCTGAAAAGGATTTAGGGATCATAGTGGTCAAGCATCTAAACATAAGTGCCCAGTGTGATGCTGTGGCAAAAAAAAAGGGGGGGGGCAGGCAATGCAA